GTGAGTGGGGACGTGACCCAGAGAGAGAAGCATCCATGTTTCTAGGGGCACTTCCATAAGAGAAGCCCTGTCACTGCTGATAGAACACTGTCATTTTATGTTCATTAATTTCATTACCCAATTCCAATCCTGACTAGAATCCAGAAGGGGGGGGGGGGGAAGTGCTGAGATCAAGCACAAATGAAGCCCACGAAGGCAATAAAGTGGGAGGGGTGGGGTGGGGGTACCAAGGAAACCTCTGATCAGAAATGACAGGGCCAGTGAGGCACCAGCATGAGAATATACAACAGGCCCTGAGAAGCCTCACTGCCAGTGAGTAAGTTGCGATTCATAGCGACCCTATAGAGAGTTTCTGAAGCTGTAAATCTTTACTGTAAGTCTTTCTTCCGGCCTCAAACTGCCGACCTATAGCACCACCAGGGCTCTTTATAATGGGGCCATTGATGGATTTAAAATATAGGTATTTTCATTTGCTTGGATTTACGGAGGCGTGTGAGGGAATCAATGTGCTGTGACTTAATGTCATGTCTGGTGAATTTGTCCTACTTAAAAGGGGGCTCCAAGAAGTTTGTGGGAAAATGGAATGGAAAGGGGTTGGGATTTCTACACGAACTGTCTGAAGCCCCTCATACAGGTAGCTTCCGTATTAAAGATGCTATGTTTAGAGCAGAATAAATATGTAAGTGCAGAATAAATTATCCTCCTGCTAGAAAACTAGCCCGAGAATCCTGCCCAATCTCCAGAATTGCTTGTACCCGGACTAATGTCCTCTGAGAGGTAACCAGGACGCAAAGGCTCTCTCACTGTCTGTGAGTGACCTTGGGGGTGTTTCTCAAGCACCCAGCACCCCCTTCTGACTGTGGGACATAACGGGGCAGGAGATGAAATGATGAGGGCCTGCAGGGGAGACAAACGTACCTCTCAGCGACAGTGAGAGAAGAGCACGAAATAGCAGCGGGCTGGGTGCTGTGCTTTGGCAGGTAAGGTGGCACGGACATCCAGGGGCCCGAAGAGCCCAAGTCCTGAGATGGCAAGCGAGGGCTGAGAGGAAGACCCAGGCATGGCTTGTTTTTCGTGTGGGTTAACAGCTTAATGTCTCTGGAAAAGCAAGGCTTGCTGTCTGCCCCTCTGAAGTGCAATGTGGTTAATTTACATTTCATTAACTCCGTCCTTCTCTGAGAGAGGAAAGATCATTGCTTCTGCCGTGCAGTTTTCACTGCCACTATTCCTTTTCAAAGGAGCCCTGATGGCGTAGTGGCTTCCACGTGGTAGGCTGTTACCCACAAGGTCAGCAGTTCGAAAGCACCAGCCACTCCTCAGGAGAAAGAGGAGGCTTTCTGAAACCCATGGGTCCCTGTGACTTGGAATCGACTCAGTGACAGGGAGTGGTTCCTCTGCGAGGGATCCCGCTCTCCTGTTAGGCTTCTCCCTATTTGCTGTCCACACTGTTCTGAGAGTCTCACCACTATCTGCCTTCTGGTTTTCTTACGCCATTTTAGTGGGATTCGAGGTAGAGACCAAGAGCCTCATCCTACAGAATATGGAAAACCTAAAC